TCCAGTATTTGTAGAGTTATTTGCCTTGACTTAGTAAAAAGATTGACAGAACAGTGGCGCGGTGGGGGCACCCGTGTCCTATGGACACATTTCTAGTTTTTATTAACCTCAATCATGTAAACTAGGTGTTATCTTAAATATGCACAAAACATGAAAATATGCATTTCTACAACAATCAATATTTCTATATTTTGAAATTACTATTTTAATAATAATAATAAAATACAATGTAATACTAATAGTAGTAATAAATTGATATCAGCTTAAACTACTTAAAAAATAACATATAAAAGGATAAAACCTTGAAAACTCAAATAAATACATTGTACTAAATCAGTAGCATTGAAGAGTTTCTCTGCTGTATCAATGTTGCATACAAGCATTATTAGCCAGCAATTTTGTTGCAACATACTGAACTTACATGTCAAATGTTTCCTTGAGAATTGCTTTCATCCACCATGATAGAAAATGTTCCACTTCACAGATATCTTGGATGTTCATTTAGTTCTGGGCCCATTACTCTATTTACTATTTATGTTTGTACATTAAGTCCGTTTCAAAGCATATTTATTTTCTTAATCGGAGTCTGGGAACATTTTCTTACACAAGCCACTGAGTGATCAGACACAGAAAATAGCAAATTGTTCAACAACAAACTTTAAAAAACATGAACTCGGCTGGAATGACAGCATCCTGTGGTTGAGTTTCTTTTATCCCTGAATTTACCTTTTGTGATCGCTTTTCATCCGGCGTCCGTTAACTTTTACTTTAAATGACATCTCCTCATAAACCACTAAGCTAATTTCATCCAAACTTCACAGGAATGTTCCTTTGGTGGTCACCTTTGAAAATTGTTCAAAGAATTTAATTCCATGCAGAACTCTGGTTGCCATGGCAACCGAAAGAAAAAACTTTAAATATCTTCTTCTAGATAACCCAAAGAGCTAGAGCTTAGATATTTGGCATGAAACGTCTTGTAGTGAGTGTCTACCAAGATTGTTCAAATAAAAGCCCTGGGGTCAAAATTGGCCCCGCCCCAGGGGGTCATTGATTTTCCCTACATGCATATAGTAAAAACTTAAAAAATCTTCTTTTAACGAACCCAAAGAGCTAGAGCTAAGATATTTAGCATGAAACATCATCTAATTGGTGTCTATGAAGTTTGTTCAAATAAGAGCCCTGGGGTCAAAATTGGCCCCGCCCCAGGGGGTCATTGATTTTCCCTATATGCATATATAGTAAAAACTTAAAAAATCTTCTTTTTACCGAACCCAAAGAGCTAGAGCTAAGATTTTTAGCATGAAACATCTTCTAATGGGTGTCTATGAAGTTTGTTCAAATAAAAGCTCTGGGTTCAAAATTGGCCCCGCCCCAGGGGGTCATTGCCTTTCCCTATATACCTGAAGTAAAAACTTAAAAAAATCTTCTTTTAAAGAACCCAAAGAGCTAGAGCTAAGATATTTATCGTGAAACATGTTCTAATGGATGTCTACCAAGTTTGTTCAAATAAGAGCCCTAGGGTCAAAATTGGCCCCGCCCCGGGGGTCATTGATTTTCCTTATATGTGTATAGCAAAAACTTAAAAAATCTTTTTTGAAAAAACCCAAATAGCTAGAGTTTAGATATTAAGCATGAAACATTTTCTAGTAAGTGTCTACAGATTGTTCAAATAAAAGCCCTGGGGTCAAAACTGTCCCAGCGCAGGTGTGTCATTGTTTTTAACTATATTTGTAAAGAAAAAACTTTAAAAAATCTTCTTTTAAACAACCTAACAAGCTAGACCTTAGATGTTTAGCATGAAACATCTTCTAATGGGTGTCTACCAATTTGTTCAAATAAAAGCGCTGGTGTTTTAACTGGCCCCGCTCCGGGGGCCTATATACAGGTGAGTGATTTCAGGGCCATCATGGCCCTCTTGTTGATAGAATATCAGACAAGTCATATAACTGTGAAAGATGTTTAGGATTCAGTTTCGGAAACAGATCTAACTTGATTGTAATGACCTGATTAGTCAATTTTGGCGAACCGAAACGCTCATCTAATCGCTCCCAAATCTTGGTAAGTGCTTTGTTGGGATTTGCAATGTATGCGCACTTGAGTGACATAACTTGACGTTTGGAATTAGGTCCAAGCCATTTCATTGCAAATCAATTTCTTCATAAGAATTTGCTCCAATTTCTAACACTATGTTTTTGAAAGTTTCTTTCCATCCATGGTAATACTCAAATCATTAAACATAAACAGGTGTGTCAACAACATATCCTTCTTCAGAAGATATTTGGATAGGTCATAGTTCATATCTGTATGATGATCAGCTACACTCTGATGACATGAAGGTGGATAAAGCACTTGAGCCACAGGGTTAAACTTTTTGTCACTAGAAACCCCTGTTAAATAATTAGCAGATCTAAGTTGAGAGTTATCTGAGGGAAGATTCAATGGTTTTCCACCATTGTCTGAATTGTCACAGCTTTCAGAATCGTCATCTTCTGCCAGTTATCTGAGCTCTTCTATTTCACGTTATAGTCTCTTTTTCATTTTAATGACTTCAAGATCGAGTGCAGCTAATTTTAGCTCACCTGTCACAAAGTGACATGGTGAGCTTTTGTGATCGCTTTTTGTCCGCCTGTTGTCCGTCCGTAAACTTTTACTTTAAACGAAATCTCCTCATAAACCACTAATCCAATTTCATCCAAACTTCACAGGATGAAGTAGTCAACTTTAAAAATTGTTCAAAGAATTTAATTTCAAGCAGAACTCTGGTTGCCATGGCAACCGAAAGAAAAAAATTAAAATATCTAAAAATTGGTCCTGCCCCAGGTTTTTTTTTCTTTATGTATATAGTTAAAACTTTAAAAATCTTCTTTTGAAAACCCCAAAGAGCTAAAGCTAAGATATTTAGCATGAAGCATCTTCTAATGGGTGTCTTCCAAGTTTGTTCAAATAAGGGCCCTTTGGTTAAAATTGGACCCCGTCCGGGGGTGGGGGGGGTGTGTCATTGATTTTCCTTATATGTGTATTGTAAAATAGAGCTAGAGTTTAGATACTAAACATGAAATATCTTCTAGTGAGTGTCTACCAAGTGTGTTCAAATAAAAGTCCTGGGGTCAAAATTGACCCTAGGCGAGGTCATTGTTTTTCCTTATATGTACGGTAAAATTCCTAATAAACGCCCCTCCCCTAATAAAGGCCCCCCAGGCCTTTTGATAAGAAAAACATTCTACTTATCAGTGCTGAACTCATGAGTAAATCCATAATTTCATTCAAATCATTCACAATCTATTTTATTTTATAGTATGAACTTTAAAATCTTAACACTTTTTAATGTTATTACCAACACTTGCTAACACTAAATGTATTTACAATGATTTTTGGATTTAGGAAAAACTGTGTTGTAATAATAGCCCCCCTTTTGTAAAATGTTTAGCCCCCGGGGGCGTTTAATAGGAATTTTACGGTATATATTAAAAACTTAAAAAATCTTCTTATAAAAACCCCAAAGAGCTAGAGCATTAAGATATTTATCATGAAACGTCTTCTAATGGGTGTCTACCAAGTTTGTTCAAATAAAAGCCCCTGGTTTTAAATTGGCCTTGGTCCACTCATGGGGCCTATATATATACAGGTGAGCGATTTCAGGGCCATCATGACCCTCTTGTTTCTGCATAATCTACCTTACTGGCTTTACTAGCTCTGCTGGTACTAGACTTGCTGGTTTTCTTTGATACTGTTGAAGGTGCACCAAGGTCATAGCGCAATGTTTTTAATCTGTTCAAGAATTCTCTTACAGAAGTTCTTTGCTCAAGCACCCCAATTAGAGTTGTAATTTCAAACAAACTTTCCTGGTATTTATAGACGTCAAATAATGTAAAAACTCCGCAGACACTTTGTCAAAATCTGTATTGATAGCTGTAGATTTCATTGATTAAATTAAAGTTAAAAGGTCTACAACTTTATCTAAATTTTGATTCTAAGTAATGTGCTTCATCAGAACCTCCCATTTCAGGTCTAGTTTCTTGCGATGCTCTAAGTAACATTTTAAAAGATTGCCATTGCTTTAGGCACCAAAGTTCTTATGCAGCAGGTTTCTTAGACATCAGCAGGCTGATAAAGGTGTAGACTTACACTGACATAGTGACAGACTGATATTAGTATGCAGTACAACAATAAACAGTTATAAACTTTGCTGCCACACGGCGAAAGTCAGCCTTCATAGTATGACATTTACAACAATGTACATATAAGGGTTCAAAACACAGAAGAAGACGGTCAGTTTTCTCATATCCATATTTATTCCTAGATCAGTAGATGAGTGAATGACTATCTGCAGTACAATATGTGATGTCATACAACATGTGATGACATGTGATCAAATGTGGTTTATATTGCAAAATACAAACAATAGTATTAATATTATGAGTAGAAGTACAGTCAATAGAGTATTAAATGGTTTAGAATATAAAACTGAAATATTCTAGTGAAGAAACGATTTTATAATTCATCAATTTACAAACCAAATTTTCTTTAATAGTTTTGTTTAAAACTTTCTAGAATATAAATCTATACTGATTTCAGTTCTCCCTAGATATTGACAATAATTCATAATTATCATTGGCTAATGAATTCATAATTATCATTGGCCTGAATGTCTTTATCCAGCCCACTTTTCATCAAGTCTTTATCATTTTTAGCTAATTTGTTTTGAAGAAAAAGTCAAGCTATTATATGATCACTGTCTTGTTGTTGTCATGCAAAAAACTTTAATCTAGCCCATTATACAAAATTTATGAACACAAAACTTGACATAATTGCTTATCATGACAAGGCACACAGTTGTTGATAAAGGGACATAATTCTGAAAGCTAGATTTTTGGAGTTATCCCCCCTTTAAACTTAGAATTTTTGTTTAAAATTGGTTATTTATATTCAATGCAATAGTTACAGCCCTGTTTAAACATCCAGTGCTCTTATTCAATGTTTTCATTTTCCTTTTTTTTCAGAAAGCAAATATGTTTGCAAGGGTTGCAAAATGGTGATTCAGTACTATGGACAAAAGTTTAATTTTGAAGTGACAAACATTATTGGTCAGACATTGCCATCAGAAACATTTGAACTTCACGGAACTAGAGACGATATTGATGGTGGAAGCTTGTCAGAAAGTATAGCCAATCTTAGTATAACTAATAATGATTCATTTGTTTCTGGGTCAGACGGAACTTCAATGGAATCTAGTTTTGGAAAAAGTGATTATCACAGTGGCGTAGATATTACATCGACACCTTCTTCTAACAGAAAAACTTCAGATAAGTCGAAAGGCAGTGAAGGCAGTTCGATTATAGATTCTGGTCTCAACACATCAATAGAAAAATTGACAACTCCTGTAAAAGAAACAGATAGATCAACTGACAATTTATTTTCACCCCGAACACCCGTCAGTGAAAGGTCATTTAGTGCACATGAAAATTTTTGTACGCCTAAGGTTGAAAAATTTATAGAGAAAAATATTTCACAGAATTTTTATAAAGTAACATCAAAGACTAAGTTTATTATATATAGTGTTGATAGTAATGTAGAGGATAGGGATACAAGTGAGGGAAAAGATGCTGTCAGGTATGCTGATATTGGTGGTATGAAAAAACAGATTGATATGTTGAAAGAAATGGTCCATACGCCTGTAGAGCAGCCTGAACTTTTCAGATCTTTTGGTAAGTTAGAATGCATTCAAAACTGTTGGTAAGTTAAAATATAGTAAGTGGTTTGGTTGTTGACAAAGTTAAAACCACTTGCCCCTCCTCGCTTTGGGTTCGAATCCGGACAGGGTATTTGGATTCTTTCATGCAAGGAAGGTATCTAGCTTGCATATGGAATGTAGGTGGTTCTATTTAGGTGTTGTGCCTGAAATAATTCACAGAAGAGCTCTATCAGTAAAGCTGGAAAATTGCCATTTGACCTATATTGTGTTGGTGCAACGTAAAACCCAAAAAATTTATTAAGTTGATATCATCTGCACTGAATTATGTCTGTGAAATAATTCCATTAGTGTTTTACAGTGAACCATGTTCATTTGGTTCAAGGTCTGCTAGGGCTCCAACTATATTAAAAACCAGTACTTGTTTCTTTAGTAAATGATAAATGTTAACCTATGTCAGTATTACAAACATGCAGTATTTGTATATACATGCATTAGGTCTTCCACCTCCAAGCGGTGTGCTGTTGTTTGGACCAAGTGGCTGTGGTAAGTCAATGTTGGTGAAAGCAGTCATCTCAGAAATCAACATCAATATACAAACAGTGTCAGCCCCAGAGATATGGAGCAAGTAAGGACCCTAAAACAGGGTTTTCATTTCTATCTGAGGCAATAGCTTTACCTTCAACTCATTAATAGGAGAACACATTTTGTTTGTGTTCTCAATCTAAAATATTTTTTCTTTGTTCAATTACTATCTGCAATGCTGGAAAGTCACATGTTTACATGAAGAAAAATCTTTTAATATCATTATATTTTTCTGGTCCTTCGGGATCATTGATTCCAAAACTTTGAGTTGAACATTGAGTACTGCTCAAGCCGGTGCTATGGTTGTGAGGGAGGTTGCACTTTATCATTTAACCTCATTTACAGACTTAATCAAACTGATTTGGAAATTTTCATGTAATTTTGTTGTGATAAATGCTTCCAAGGGGTCATCCTTATGCCAGATTTTGAAAGTTTATTAGTCCCCTACCGGTTAACCGGAGGGGACTTTAGGTTTACCGTCTGGCCGTCCGTCAGTCCGTCTGTCCGTCCGTCCGTCCACAAAACTGGATCCCGCAATAACGCAAAAAATACTGAAAATATTTTAATGAAACTTGATATATGGATAGATGGCAGTATGGAGATTATGCACGTCTTTTTCTTTTCTTCCAATGTTGAAAATTCTGGTTGCTATGGCAACAAATAGACTGAAAATATGGCAAATTTTACACATAACCTGGATCCCGTGATAACACAAAAAGTAATGAAAATATGTTTATGAAACTTGATATATGATTGATGGCAGTATAGAGATTATGCACGTCTTTTTCTTTTCTTCCTATGTTGAAAATTCTGGTTGCTATGGCAACAAATAGACTGAAAATATGGCAAATTTTACACATAATCTGGATGCAGTGATAACACAAAAAGTAATGAAAATATGTTTATGAAACTTGACATATGGGTAGATAGCAGTATGGAAATTATGTACATTCTTTTCTTATCTTCTTATGTTGAAAATTCTGGTTGCTATGGCAACAAATAGACTGAATTTCAAGATTTCTGATTCTAGTTTTTAAGTTTTTTCACTATAAGTTCTTTATTTCTGAAGGTATTTTCATCAAACTTTAAATATAAGTTGCTTGTCATCAACCACATCATATGTGACAAGGTTTACAACTGTAGCACAAAATTTATTAGAATTGCCTCCCTTGAACTTAAAATTTTCATGAAAAAAAACATTGTTTTTTTTTTAATAACTTCTTTTTCTGAATGTATCTACTTCAAACTTCATATAAATGTTTCTTATTATCACTCAACATTTGTGAGTGTTCAATACTCTAGCAAGACTATTTCCAGAATTATGCACCTTTTGAACATAGACTTTTTTTTGAGAAATTGGTAATTTTTACTCCAGCTTTTTTTTTAATAACTTCTTTTTCTGAATGTATCTACTTCAAACTTCATATTAATGTTTCTTATTATCACTCAACATTTGTGAGTGTTCAATACTCTAGCAAGACTATTTCCAGAATTACGCCCCTTTTGAACTTAGACTTTTTTTTGAGAAATTGGTAATTTTTACTCCAACTTCTTCAATCATGAAAGGATTTTAAAAATGTTATATTTTGATAACAGGGATGTTTAAAAAATAACTTTAGAGTGTCCTTCAGTCCGTCTGTCTATACATAAAAACTGTTTCCTGTGATCACTTTTAAAGAACTTTTTCAACAAATTTACTTAAAATAGGAACCTAAGTGAATGGCCAATGGCCCTTCAGAATGTTGCTTGGGCTCTTACAGGTAGGGGACTTATGGATTGCTTGCAATACTATGATAATTGCTTGTTATGTTAGGCGTACAATCTATTTTGTGAAAAAAATATTGTGAAATTATAATGGTTGTTCTTTAGAAGCCAGGATATCATTTATACTTTATATTACAGATTTTATGGCGAGACAGAAACCAAATTAAGAAAAATCTTTGAAGATGCCAGACGACTGTGAGTATTATAAATACAGTTTCTTGTTTTATTCCAAATATGCAATGTTCTTACATACATATTGTAGCAAATGAAACTTTGTATTATTTTATATCAAAGAAAAAAGATGTATTAAGGTAGACGAATTTGGCATAGTTTGCTCGATGGCAATTATTTACTTGTTATAATCCGGCTTTAGCAAGAAAACTCCAATATATTTACAGTGATTTTTCTCACTGAATTGGGGAGAGGCCTTATCCTCTTGATTTTGGGAAAACTTTTCGCTAAAATTTTTGATTTGGGAAGTAAAAAAGCTGGTTTAAGTTAAGATTTTTGGGAAAACTGCATGATTTTAAAGAAAATTTCAATTGGGAAGAGGCCTTTTTTCGGAGTCTGTTATATAAGTAGTAATATCACTGATTTAGTACAATATATTAAAATGAATTTAATTAAATCATTAATAAATTATTTCTTACGAAAAAAATCCGGCTACACCTTGTTAATGTTTGTTATTTTGTTTGACAGAGCTCCCAGTATTATTGTTATAGACGATATAGAGACTTTATGTCCACGTAGAGATGGCAGTCACAGCGAGGTTGAGAAAAGAGTGGTTACCTCCCTTCTTACACTGATGGACGGTATAAATAATGTATGGTATATTTTTACAAAAACTATTATCATAATCTTGGTTTAAATTTTCAGTGATGAACCTCAATGAAGTTTTTATCACTGAATAGACTTTATTCGTTGCTCATCTGTTTCAAAGAAATATTAGTTATTATGATAGATTATGATAGCTGAGTCGTCATGGAATACCTGCTTATCGTGACAAAGTACAGTTGTAAGTCAAGGGGCATAATTCTGAAAGATGTACTTTTGGGGTTATGTCCCTTCTTAACATAATATTTTGTAAAAAAGAGTTGTTCTGAAAAGATAAGTGTTTACACCACATGCTATGCTCTTGTTTTTCATCAAAGGTTGAGAGTGGGAAGTTTGTGATGGTTCTGGGAACTACAAGCAAACCAGATGTTATTGACCCAGCTTTGAGACGACCTGGACGATTTGACAGAGAGATAGAGATTGGGGTACCCTCTGTGTTTGACAGAAGAGAGGTTAGTGCTAAAATAAAAATTCCTTTGCACTAGTATTGTAATGTTGTCAGTGTTGTATATATAACAGACCAAAAACGGGGGTCCGTGGCCCAAAGGTTAAGGTCATTGACTTCAGACTGCTCGCCCCTCAACGCTGTGGGTTCGAATCCGGACAGGGACTTAGGATTCTTTCATGTGAGGAAGCTATCCGGCTAGCTTACGGAACATCGGTGGTTCTTCTTGGGTGCCCATTAGTGACTGAAATAATGCATTGAAAAGCACCCGAGGTCTTCCTCCACTAGTAAAGCTGGAATGTAGCCATATGACCTATACTGTGTAGGTGTGACGTAAAATCAAACAAACAATCAAACAGACCCAAAACAGGTTGGTTTAATTTAGCTTCATTGTATTCATAAAGATATGCTCACAATCAAAGACTCTACAATCACTGAAATATAAACATACATGCAGGGCTAGCCAGACAGGCTTATCAGTACACAGAGGCAGGCTTATATATTCTAGGCTTTGATTGGCTACTACAAGTATTAATGTAGAATTTAATACTTTGTTTTTATACAGTAGTGGTTATGCTGGAAAAAAAACCAATAATCTCTTATTTCATGGTAGCAATTGGCTTATCTAATCTTTGTCTGTACAAAGTAATGGGTTAAAGCAGCTCTTCCTGATTTATGCTAATTTTCATGGAAATTTCTGAAATGTATTAAAAAAATCAAATATTGTCAACTGAAAAAAGAAAGTCATTTACACATTGCAAGTAAATTGCAAAAGAAAGGTCAAAATTTGCAAAATTCTGAAAGATAGCCCTTACTGAATTAGTCACACAGTAGAAATATGGTGAAAATACTGCAAAATCAGTTATTCATTGCATATAACATGTAAATCAATTCTTGGATTGTGAATATTTTTACTTTTCTTAAGGAGTAAACAATATATCAATTATGAAAAAAATTATCTAAATATGTGGTATTCACAAAGAAGTGAAGAAAAAAATTATTATCATTAAAATGACCAGTGAGTAGACAATATATCAATTGTGAACAGTGAAGAAAAAAAAGGCATACAGCACTGTGCATATCGGATGATATTTTAGGTTTATCTCACAAACATTGCCTCACTTGTGTCTCTGTAAAAATGGTATTGCTCAACCGTAAATGTAAATTGAAATGATGTCATTTGTGTTATACAAAATTTAATGAAAAAATGAGTTTTCCTACTGTAAACACTTTTTAGTCCCCTACCGGTTTAACCGGAGGGGACTTTAGGTTTACCCTCCGTCCGTCTGTCCGTCCGTCAGTCCGTCCACAAAACTGGATCCCGCGATAACGCAAAAAGTACTGAAAATATTTTTATGAAACTTGATATATGGATAGATGGCAGTATGGAGATTATGCACGTCTTTTTTATTTCTTCTTATGTTGAAAATTCTGGTTGCTATGGCAACAAGTAGTCTGAAAATATGGCAAATTTAACACATAAACTGGATCCAGTGATAACTCAAAAAGTACTGAAAATATTTTTATGAAACTTGAAGTATGGGTAGATGGCAGTCTGGAGATTATGCACATCTTTTTCTTTTATTCCTATGTTGAAAATTCTGGTTGGTATGGCAACAAATAGCCTGAATTTCAAGATTTCTGATTTAAATTTTTCAGCTTTTTTACTATAAGTTCTTTATTTCTTAAGGTGTTTACTTCAAACTTTAAATATAAGATTCTGGTCATCAACCACATTATATGTGACAAGGTTTACAACTCTAGCACAAAAATTATCAGTATTACCTCCCTTGAACTTAGAATTTTTATGGAAAAAAATGTTGTCTTTTTTAAATAACTTCTTTATTTCCTAATGTATCTACTTCAAACTTCATATATATGTTTCTTATTATCACTCAACATTTTTGAGAAGGTTAAATACTCTAGCAAGAATATTTCCAGAATTATGTCCCCCTTGAACTTAGATTTTTTTTGAGAAATTGGTATTTTTCACTCCAACTTCTTCATTCCTTATAGGATTTACTTTAAAATCCCACATCGTAATAATATGACAAGGTTGTATTAACATAATTTCCTTACTAGGCATGGAAACTTAACACATTACAGTGATATAGACAAACTTAGAACTCAAAAGATTTAAGTTCATTCATGTCGTTCATTCACTGGTAAAATTGAATGGCCAGTGGCCCATCAGAATGTTGCTGGGGTTCTAACCGGTAGGGGACTTATGGATTGCTTGCAATACTATGATAATTGCTTGTTATTTTAGGTATGTTAAAAAGAAGAATATTATATTCATGTAGCTTCATTACTAAATTTATTGAGCTCACTGAATAAAAGCATGTAATTCTCACCAGAGGCCCGCATATTATAAATTTATTCAACTTATTCTATAAATTCAGTATTGAACTTACAAGGATTGCATACTATAAATTCAGTATTTGAACCTATACTCCTTCAATATCCTTTATATGCGAGAATTTCAATAGTTACCACTCTACCCATGATATCATTATATAAATAACACATGGGTTTGTGGGTAACAGTAAAAATATCATCCCGAGGAAAATACTGTTACCCGAGGCGTAGCCGAGGGTAACAGTATTTATACGAGGGATGATACTTTTACTGTTACCCACAAACCCATGTGTTATTAGCTCGACTATTCGAAGAATATGAGAGCTATTGTAGTCAACCCGGCGTCGGCGTCCACGTCGGCGTCTGCGTTGGTTAAAGTTTTTTGTAAAGTCAAATATCTCAATTATTACTTGAGATATTCAATTGAAACTTACAATACTTATTTATAGTAACAAGGTACTTCAGATTGACAAGTTGGATAACTCTGCCTACAATATTGACAGAATTATGCCCCTTTTTAACTTAGAAATTTTGGTTAAAGTTTTTTGTAAAGTCAAATATCTCAATTATTACTTGAGATATTCAATTGAAACTTACAATACTTATTTATAGTAACAAGGTACATCAGATTGACAAGTTGGATAACTCTGCCTACAATATTGACAGAATTATGCCCCTTTTTAACTTAGAAATTTTGGTTAAAGTTTTTGTAAAGTCAAATATCTCAATTATTGCTTGATATATTCAATTGAAACTTACAATACTTATTTATAGTAACAAGGTACATCAGATTGACAAGTTGGATAACTCTGCCTACAATATTGACAGAATTATGCCCCTTTTTAACTTAGAAATTTTGGTTAAAGTTTTTTGTAAAGTCAAATATCTCAATTATTGCTTGATATATTCAATTGAAACTTACAATACCTATTTATAGTAACAAGGTACATCAGATTGACAAGTTGGATAACTCTGCCTACAATATTGACAGAATTATGCCCCTTTTTAACTTAGAAATTTTGATTTAATTTTTTGTAAATTCAAATATCTTAATTATTGCTCGAGATATTCAATTGAAACTTACAATACTTATTTATAGTAACAAGGTACATCAGATTGACAAGTTGGATAACTCTGCCTACAATATTGACAAAATTATGCCCCTTTGGAACTTAGAAATTTTGGTTAAAGTGTTTTTGTTAAGTCAAATATCTGAATTATTGCTTGAGATATTCAATTGAAATTTAAAATACTTTTTTATAGTAACAATGTACATCAGTTTGCAAAATTGCATAACTCTGCCTGCAATATTTGCAGAATTATTTGCCCCTTTGAAACTTAGAAATTTTGGTTAAAGGTCTTCAAAGATATTTACTTGAAACTTTACACATGCACTTAGGGTCATAATTGGAGGCTGATTCATATCCCCTTTTCTACTTAGTCTCTTGGTTAATGTTTACATGCAAGTTTTACATATCTCAATAACTATTAAAGATATTTATTTAAAACTTCACATATGCATTTAGGGTCATAATTGTAGGTCACTGACAAAGATCCATAATTCTATCTTGCATTTAGGCTGATTTTTCTCCCCTTTTTCAACTTAGAAATTCATGGTAAAGTTTTGCTTGTAAGCTGTTATCTCAATAACTACTGAAGGGTTCATGCCTTTTTTGGGACAATTTTATGCATTCATAATAATAAAGCAGTGATTTACTTGATAAAACATCTTAATAAAAAGCCTTTGTACCTTTTCTGTCAAATTTATGTATTCATATGTAATTAGTATTATTATACTCAATAAAACAACCTTGTGACATTACCTTCCAAATAGTCAAGCCAATACTGTATACTTAGACTCTCTCTAAGGCCTATAACATGAATTTATAAAAAAAAATTAGCCCTTTTGTGAATATGAAAAATTTAACATTATCAAGGCTCTTTTACTATCAAGCACTTAGAATAGTCGAGCGTGCTGTCCTACAGACAGCTCTTGTTTATTTTATTACCCCGAACAAATACTGTGATGATCTGAATTTGTCAACTAAATCTAACTGTAACAAAAATAAGCCAAGAGAAGCAATAACTAAACTGTCCTTACCTTGCAAGTTTTAAGTGCACTGTAGGCTTACTTGAGAAGCTGTTTTTCTTTTATTCTTTAGGCAAGTGATGATATCTACCAGTCATAAACATAAAATAAGCTGTGTTTTATTCAGAAAACAAAACACTAACCCATTTATAAGGTTATGATCTGTGAAATCTGTTCCTTCTGCATCCAGAATATTCTTCGCATGTTTTTTGACAAAGTGCATTTAGAAAATAACGATGATATCCTACAGATGTCTGTCCACCAACTCTATCTGTAACGTTTCACTGGTTAAAATTGTTAAATTATCCTTTGTTGCATGATTAAATTGTCTGCATGTTCCAGTTTGACACAAAATTATTTACATTACAATTACTTCTGTTGAAAACGGATGTTTCCTGTTGACTATTCAACAAAAAGATATTTAATACGCGAAAGGGACTCTAGGGTGCAATGAACTAAATTTTATCAGAGTAATAGTTACTTCGGCGATGCCCTATCGTCGAAAATAAGAATGAATCGAGAGAAAAAATGGCGGCCATTTCATTTCATTTTATTTAGAAAATAGACCACGTGACCAGATTTTATACTGTTAAAAAATACTGTTACCTATGTAACAGTACAAAATTCGTAGTCACGTGGTACACTTGCATTAACAGTAAGAATAACTCCCAGAGGCCTATGGGAAATTAACATTACGAAAAAAGTGAGGGGTAATAAAATATATTATTATGAGTAATGCTAATCATTCTATATTTACAATTCAGATTTTAGACTGTATGTTGAGGAGGTTGAATCATGACCTGACAGTACAAGAGATACAGGAAGTTGCTGATGCAGCTCACGGCTATGTTGGTGCTGATTTAGCCGCCCTTTGCAAAGAAGGTATAACTAATATAGCTCTCTTTTGTTGGAAATACATGCTAAATATGGGTTTTAGATTTGCTTCGATGACATTTGGAAGTGTATTCTGTTTAAAGATTTTAAGATCAACATGCTGAAATTAAGCAAGTAATTAAATAGTAAGGACTCCGGCTAGATGGCACTGATTTGCATATTGATCTTGATTTAATGTTAATAGTATAAGCATGATATTGTATATATAAGTTTAAAAGCAAGTATTTTGCTGTTTTCAATTCATAACTTTACCATATTTTAGCAGGGATTTGAAGGCTGGCCATGTTTTATGTTATTATTATCATCAGTTTTATTTTCCCGTCTTACAGCTAGTCTACATTGTATGAAGCGAGTTGGACATCACAGTGACACGGTCTGTTTAACATTGGCTGATTTTAACTATGCAATGACTATGGTACAACCCAGTGCAATGAGAGAAGTCCAGTTGGAGGTCCCTAAGGTAAGCAATGATCAACTTGAATAAAAGTCTTCCTACACTGTATCCCGGAATGGGACAGAGAAATTAAAACTAATTTTATATTTTACAATATATTCTCTCCCAACAGCATTAGGGAAAGGTATTGTACTCACCAAGGCATCATTGTTTGTGTCATTTGGTTAAGTTTTGTCAAGTTTTGCAAGTTAGTATGTTGGAAATAACTGCAGGGAATAGGTTGAAACTTAATGGACTTATTAGAGAGCATAGTAGCATGTCACTTTCCAAGGCCAATAACTCTAAGATAGATTTTGACAGAACTACAGCCCTTTTTGATCTAAGAAAATTCTATATTATTAAGGCTTTTGTTTTACTATCGAGCACCAAATTATCCAGGCTCTTGTTTTACCGTTCGAGCACCAAGAATAGTCAAGCATGTTGTCCTACCAACAGCTCTTGTTATTTTTCAGGTTTTATGGAGTGATATTGGGGGACAGGATCATATTAAGCTGAAGTTGAAACAAGCTGTAGAGTGGCCATTAAAACACCCCGAGGCCTTTACACGAATGGGTATATCCCCACCAAGAGGGATCCTAATGTATGGACCTCCTGGATGTTCTAAAACGATGATAGCCAAGGCGTTGGCAACAGAAAGTGGGCTCAATTTTCTAGCTGTAAAGGTAATGTGTGAAATATATTAGCTTAAACTACACATGTAGTAGTCAATGATTTATTTGTAAAGTTCTAATTATTCAAAGGAAAGAATTTCTAGAATCACTTTTTGTTTTGAATATAAAGTTAAGGCAGTCATAAATGTTTAAACATTTTTATCTTCCATAGAAAGGAAATCTATGTTATTCAAAAGAAGAGTTTTGAAAAGGAGATAGGTTAAAAAGATGGCTGCTAGGTTAGCTTGAGGGTTTTGTATTATAAATTGAGGTTTGGACTAAAAAATGTCTGCTTTTCAACACAGTGATTGGGGTTCAAGCCCTAGTCAGGTCACCAATATGTGTGCTTACTAAAATCGGGTATTGGTTACTTCAACCTGGAAGAGAACTTGAAGCTGCCAGTTATCTGAAGGGAGAACATGTTATAACTAAATCTGGATACAGAAAATATTTTTATATTAAGTTTATCTATATATTAACTAGATACATTTTCTGCTTCAGGGTCCTGAATTGTTTAGTAAATGGGTGGGAGAGTCTGAGAGGGCCGTGAGAGAAGTATTCAGAAAGGCTCGAGTAGCGTCTCCGGCCATTATATTCTTCGATGAGATAGATGCTCTAGCTATAGAAAGAGGGAGGTAAGACAGAAAGATTAAAAGTTCGTTTTTAATTAATAGACTTTGTTCTACTGTCCATTATTGATCTTAGGGATTTCAATACAGCAAAATATATAGTAAAGCCAAATAATGAACACTTAGGTCATACTGCACATTTTAAATTAAACAGTCACTTTTTGTTGCCAGTATAATCAGTTTGTCAGGTAGTAGATCCAGTATTCAATATTCCCATGATTTTTAAAATGAAACTCTAAACTTTAGGTGAACTGTTATGTAAACTGGTAGATCAATTTCTATATAAAGCATATAAAGGTGGTGTATAAACTAAACATGGTTATATTTGTATACAGTTCATCAGGGAGCAGTAATGTAGCTGATCGAGTATTGGCACAGTTATTGACAGAGATAGATGGTGTGGAAGCTTTGAAGAATGTCACGATTGTAGCTGCTACAAACAGACCAGATATGATTGATAAGGTTAAATCTTATTACTTTAGCTTGTAGATAAATAACCTTTATAGCTAGGGCTGGGGGGATGAGGGTTCAGCTCACTAGGGTCGTGTGGTCGTAGTTGCAAAGGTTTCAATTTCATCCTTCTCCACTCTTTGGGTTTTAATTCTGTATTCAGTTGGGGCCATTGCATGTGAGGAAGTTACTTGGCAAAAGTAGAGAAAGTTGGGACTGAATAATACTATTAAGGGCATTTAAGGTCCTCCTTCAGCAGTTAAGCTTGAGGGTCTTCAATGGCCAAGTGGTAACGGTCACTGAATTTTATCAAGTACCACCATGGGTAATTGAGTTAGATAATGTTTAAAAGCTATTGACTTACCCTACAGAAGGTATATGGTTCTGTTAAGGTACTCATTCAAGGGTTAAATAAAAAGAGAATTTTTGGGGTGCAGATAGGAAGGGGCCTTATATGGCCGTTACACTATTTCAGTAGAATTGTACTGAAAATATCAGCCTAATGTATGCATGTGATCTGTCTTATGATATATAACATAAAGTTCAATGATAAATGATTATAATAAACTTGCCTCTGTCAGGTAATTTGTGAATATGTATGTTAGGATTTATAGATATACGTTTTCACAATAAAACGTGCAGAAGGGTACACGTTAAGGAGAATGACTTTTCAGGGTATTTTCTTGTACATTTCACATATTTCTAACCAATAATTGCTTATTTATATGTTTTCACAATAAAAAGAGCAGAAGGGTACACATTAAGGAGAATGACTTTTCAGGGTATTTTCTTGTACATTTCACATATTTCTAGCCAATAATTGCTTATTTTCATTTATTTAATAGGCTTTGTTGAGGCCAGGACGTTTTGACCGGGTGTTGTATGTTCCACTGCCAGATCTGTCCACGAGGGCAGAGATTTTCAACATCAACCTACGTAAAATGCCTGTTGATTCAGACTGCACACCAACCTGGCTTGCTGACTGTACCGCTGGGTATTCTGGAGCCGAGGTTAGTACTGCAAACTCGTGTTTTGTATGATTATAAACTTTAAGAGCCTTTTGCTCATTATCTGAGACATAGTTTTATTAAGTTGAAGAAAAAAATGAGACAAAACCGATGATTGCATCCAATAATAAAAAATCATTTGTTGCAAATACTTAAGTTATTGATTATATTTTATTAGGTGTGAAATATAGTAAAATGTTTTTCTTAATTCACATTAAATGTAAATTGAGTGATATACAGTGAACAATATATGAATTATAGAGAATGATAATTGAGAAAATGATAAACTGTGAATGATAATGTATGCTATACAGTAAATGATATACTGAAAGTGATATAGAGACAAAGATTTAGTCATATACAGTGAGTAGTATACATAACAATATGTGATATAAAGAGTGTTGTGATATAAATGTGTGAAATAGTGATCTACAATAAGTGATATACTGTAAATGATATGCAGTGAGATATATACAGTAGGTGATATAGATTTTAATTATATCATTGATAAATACTGTCCCATTTGCCAAACATACAAGTATGATAATTAGATACAATATTTTCATTGATATACTTTCAGATTTCCTCAGTGTGCCATGAGGCAGCATTGTTTGCTCTACAAGAGGATATCACCTGTCAGTTAGTGAAGAAATCACATTTCCAGCTAGCACTGAATACAGTTACACCTCGTATAAATGACTCTCTCATTAAATTCTATGATGAATATCAGCAAAAAAGTGGTCTTCATACTGTATGAGTAAAATAAAATAGAAAAATAAAATATATGAACAAAAAATGTTTTTGTTTTTGTTTACCAGTATATATATGTGAATAAAATGTACACTGTGAAATGTATTGGAACCCTTGTTTAAGAGAAAAGAAAATGATTTGCTGTGAAATCGGACCATTCTTGTTGGATATATTAGGGAATTAATTTCCAACCATATCCAGTAGGTTCGAATCCCACCAGGGGACGTTGGATTCTTTCATTGAGGAAACTATCAAGCTAGCTTATGAAACGTATTCAATGGTTCTACTTCAAGTGGCTGGAATGATGCATAGACATTGCATCCCTTCCCCAAAAAAAAAATCACTACCAGTGTTGAAATTTGCAGCTAACAATACTGCTTTGACATAATGAGAGCATATTATATGGTTCACAAGAGGATGTGGAAAAACTAGTTTATGATGGCTGAACCTCTAAATTTAATTTTCCAAAAAAATCTTGCACTTGAACCAAAATAATCATGCTCGTTTGAGGAAATACACTTTTAATTAAATGTGGTGGAAAACACATTTACAACAAAATATCCAGTTGGAATTTGGGCCGTCCATAGTTTTAGGGATTTCAATACTGGAATAGTAAAATTGAGTAACCAATAGTAGATTTTCGACAAAGCACTCACTAGCTGGCTTTATTTGCATATGTATGTATGTTGTTCAGTTGCATTGAAATCTATAGCATTTTAAAGACTGTATCGGAATAAATAGATCTAAACAAATCTGAAAATTATAAAATCAGATTAAATTATGTCCGTGATATCTCTATAATGTTACACAACATGGGAACAAAATGATAAATTCTTAATCGTTCATCTACATGTATGTGTTCAAACTTGTAACACACGTAATTATTACACTAGGTATACTGAAGTCAGCGGGTGTTCGGTCAGTCCGTTTCAGATTTCTTGTCCAGGACATAACTCAAAATGTACAAGAGATATCAACTTCAAATTTTGTAGCTAGATAGATTTCATTGAGTAAAAGTGCAGTACAAAAGAATCGTAACTGTGCCTTGCCTAATTTTTTTAGTTATTGACCTTCCTTTATTTTTTTCACTTTGAACTTTTTTGTCCGGGACCCAACTCTGAAACCGCAATAGTCCAAGAAATCCGTGCATAAAATAGGGTGAATTGTGCACCTCTTGTGAAAAGCATGAAACTTGGCATGGTGGCAGGAAATAGTATTTCAATTCATTTTAGCCTGGGATCCACTTTTTAAAAATCCAATATGGCCGCCAAAATCCAAGATGGCCGCCATATATAAAAATTTTCAGAATATTTGGGTATTTCAGCTTTAGTCATACCTAAAATAGTATAAAAAAGCATCAGTTCATTATATTACAGATTAATTTATATTCAGGCCTCTGATCCAGGTTGTGCAAATCCAAAATGGCCGCCAAAATCCAAGATGGCCGCCATTTATTTTTCAAAATATTAAAGTTTTTTAGCTGTATTCTTTACAGGTCAGTATGAGATAGCACCACTTTATTATATTACACATTTATATATTCAAGCCTCGGATCCAGGTTGTGCAAATCCAAGATGGCTGCCAAAATCCAAGATGGCCGCCATATTAAAATTTTCAGAATGTAATAGTTTTCAGCTGTTGTCGTCATTACAGAACAGTATAAAATAAGATCATTTTAAAATTATGGTATTGCATATTTAATTATATTCACGCCTTGGATCTAGGTTTTGCATATCCAACATGCTTGCCGAAATCCAAGATGGCCACCATGTTGAATTTTCCAAAATATGTTAGCTTACCAGCTGTAATCATTTTCAAATTAGTATAAAATAGCACAAATACATTATATTTCATGTTTTTTAACCATACCAGCATGAAGAAAATTTTTGGGAGCCGTATTGTATTTGCCTTTGCCGTCTGTCTGCCGTTCGTCCGCATTAAGCGTGTCCATCTTTCACAGGTCAAACTACAGGTGGGATTTCAACTTAGCTTAACAGGAATAATCAGTACCTTTTTTTTTTTTTTTTTTGATGGGTTTATTTAAGGTCGCCGCCGGAAAGCCCATATGGGCGACCGTACACTCAAGTCGGGCCATCCAAGAGCGTCCCACCGAAATTTTTCGTCGATTTTTTTCCAGCTTTATTGGTGGAGGAAGCCGGGCATTATTTCAGGCACGAGCGGGCACCTGGGTAGAACCACCGACCTTCCGTAAGCCAGCTGGATGGCTTCCTCACATGAAAGATTTCGACCCGAGTGAGGATCGAACCTACAGCTGTGAGGGACCTGTGATCTCAAGTCAGCGACTTTAACCACTCGGCCACGGAGGCCCCCTAATCAGTACCATCCAAAGTTGTGGACATCACCGTCACATTCCGCTTAGCTGCACAACATGGCCGCCAGAGCTAAAAGCTGAAATATCTTGCTCGGCCTTCACTGGTCAAACTACTGGTTGAATATCAACCAAACTTTACAGGAGAGAGCAGAAATATCCCTAGTTGTGCACACACATCACCAGCACATTTCGCTTTGCTGCACAAATTGGTCGTCGGAGCTATAAATAAAAAAAATATTGTCTGGCTTTCACAGGTCAAGTTACTGGTGGGATTTCAATGAAACTTCACATGAGTGACCATGCATAGTTTTGGGAGACATATGTTTTTGTGACAAAAACCCATTTAGTTATGAAACTGTTTTAAAGCATCCAATTCATATTGAAACATGCTCATAATTAAATTGCTTAGATTTATTTTTTCTTGATTTACGAAAACTCAAAAGAAACAAAAGAATATTTAAAACAAAAAAATGGAAGTTAAACTATCTCATAATTTCATTATCTGCCCGTACATAAAAATCTTTTTGCTAATTTTAAGTAATTTCAGGGGCAAGTAACTTGCAATCAAACTAAGCTGAGCCTAATTCCAATGATATGATATGAAGCTGACCTCCTATTGGGTCATTGTGCAAGTGCTAAAGGAATAGTATAGAAACTTTTGTATATTTTTACCAACAGCTATGTAATTTTCCCTAAAAAGAAAACACTTTATAATAATAATTTCAGAGAATTCTAGACTCTGTAATTTGTATTTTGAGTAGAATATAAAGTTAAACGTAACCCAAGACTACTTGAAGTAGTAGTTTATGTTCAGAGTCAAAAGTGACCAGTTCTTAAAAAAATTGTGGATACTATGCTAGTAAATTGCTGAAAATGTTAGAAATAATGATATTTCAACAGTTGTACATCAGGTTGCTTTTATACTAACTTAAGCAAGGTCATGTTTAAAGTGTTATCAACTAATACTAATCAGTATAAATAAGAAAACTGTACTCAATTATCTATAATTAACACCTATTGATCTAGTACTGAACGTCTGTCAAGTTAAAGGTCAATTGTTCATTTTTATTGTGATTCTATGAGTAAATAAATAAAAAAAAAGGCTGAAGAAATGACAACCTCATGAATTAAGCTAAATGCGACATGATTTCACTAGTTCTTGTGTACAGTCCTTTTATGACAGTTGTGGAAACCAAACAGAAATTATTTAATCTAAGTAAACAATTTATAATTTGTTAAAGAGTTTCCATTGTTTTTGAAATACAAAAAAAAACAACAAACAACTGAGATTATAAATCAACTATTATACTGTAATATCAGAAAAAAACATATGATTATGTAGGCTTAATCAGGCATTTCAACTGCTTTAAAATATAAAAGGGAGAAATTAACAAGAAATTTAAGAGCGTTGCCCCTGGATTGCAGCCCCGAAATTCGCAGTAAGTCAGTAAGTTAGTATCTCAATCTTACAATTGGAATCTCATATCAAAATTATCAAATAGAAAGAGCTGCAAAAGTCTAAACTTGATTTCATATAAAGTCACGAATTACTAATCTTAATAATGTTTCATTACAGAAAAACCCAAGATATTTTTGTTCAATATCATTCTGTTTTTCTTGTTTATTCACAAGACCTTGCCAAAATAATGACATAATAAGAGTCTGATTCCGTTATCTATGACACAAAATATATGCTGCTTAAATTACTAATGAAAGGAATACACAGCTGCAGTAAGACGATCACAAGGATGATGCAAACTAAATTTATTAAAAAGAATTGACAGGAGGAGAAACCCTTACGTCTCCGACACAAACTAGTATAAATCATCCTGAACATTTGTTTCAAATAAGCTAAGGAATTGTGTTCACTAAAATATACAATACAATAGAGGATTAATTCACACTTTTCATGCATTAACATCTACAGAAGCGTGAAGACGCATTCTGAGCCCTCATTCTATGGGCTCAGGTTTCAATTTCTGTAGATGTTGATGCACAAAATAATGTATTTATGTCATTCTGTCTCGGTGATTCTACGATATGTTGTTTTCCGCATAAAGAAACTAGTTTTGTATTGATTTTAACTTTAATTTTTGTGTGTTATGTTTTGATAATAAGGTAACTGGGGATCATTATTAAAATCAGCGGCTTTGCATGGTATCAGAATCATGCACATTGACAAGAGCTATAGTGGTAGGACATCATAGAGTGCTCGACTGTTCTCGGTACTTTATAGCTAAACATAAACCTATACTATGAAGAATTCTCTATATTTAAAAGGGACATAATTCAGTCAAAATCCATGACAGAGTTATTGACCTTTAACGGTGACCTTCTATTATGCTAAAAAATAAAAGTATTAGGGTTTAACTTATTCCATCATGAATTTTTTACAAAACCAACTTGCATGAAAAACTTGTAAAGCAGACGCCTTTGGTGTACAATATCACTTGCTCCCTATTCTTTGAAATATCAAGCTAAATAATGTGCTCGCATGGTTTTATCCATAAATGCAAGTTTATTTCTCTGTAAATGTACATCTGTATATGCAGTTTTATGCAGGAATACCACTTTTTTAGTTTGTTATATGTATTAAAAGTGTTGATGATACAAATTACCTTTATTATAGAAATTTGTCAAAATATCATCATTTAATGGCAGCCATATTGGATTTTGAAGCCATATTGAATTTTCTACCAAT